TAAAAGATACTTTCAATTATTCACAAGTGTTATGAAGTGAAATAACAAACTAGTGGGGGATTGTAAGATAGTTTGTTATTGGCAAGTTGGAAGTTGGATTCTTCCCACATCGGAAGAAAGAAGTTTCGTGCCTGTCATGTGAAACACTCCCGGGACCGACCTTACTCGTACCGTGCCTGTTAGCCTCGAAACTGATCATTATGAAATAGCACATAACAGGCACGAGATTGTCTCAACAGGCACGAGACTGACTCAACAGGCACGAGATTAACTCAACAGGCACGAGATCCTAAAGTTAATTATTTATTTGAATTTAAATTCAAAATTCGAATAAATAGTTGTGTCTGTTTGTGAAACAAGACATCTTTTCTGAAAGGGTCTATTGGTTGCCTATAAATACACAAGAATTCCAACGAAGTGTAAAAAAAGAAAAAGAAAATTATAAGTGTTATTGCAGGCTTTGTTGTATCCTGAAGAGAATCGTTTTGTATTTTCCCTAAATTAGTATACAGGCGATAACTCTTTAAGGAAAGTCGATTTTCACGCCTCAAAGCCAATTATGTTTATTATTTTCTAACACATTATAGCTAAGTGAAAGTAATAAATGTGTATATGAAAAACTTTCTGCTTATAAATTTCTCTTTTTTGGTTTTGTTTGAGTCTTATCCTTAAAGAATACTGCCTAATTTATTAAATTTTATGCTCAAAATTATCAGCTCTACTCAATTAGGAAAAACAACAAATCTAAAAACACATGCAATAACTTTCACAACAATATTAGAAAACTAAGCAGGTCTGTAGTTAATTGTGCATATATATATATATATTAGAGCATCTATTATAAAATCAAATTCAAAACAAACACAAGTACAATCCATAGGCTAAAAAGATAATGTAACTAGAACAAGTCGAGTATCATATCATGAATGGGAAGTTTCCTTCCCTGAAAAATTGTATATTGTGCAAGTAAGGTAAAAATAAAATTTTAGTTAAATGTGAATTGAATTCCGTTAACATAAGAAAAAAAATTAATTTAGTGATAAAAGAGATTCAAAAATTACATTGGATCATAAGTTCAAATCCAACGTGTGACGCTCTAGTATTTTTCTGAATACCATTGTAATATGAATTTCTAGCTTCACTACCAATTACATTCGGGCTTAGTATATATACCTTCTAGTATATACAACCATACTGTTTTATTTTATTTAAACCAAACTAGCTTATAACTTTGTGCTATTGGCACAAAGTTATAAATGTCTCTGGTTGAGGAAAAAAAAAAGCTTGAAATTATCGGTCAGTTTTTACACTTCTTATGTAAACTATCACTAATAAAATGTCTATTAGTGATACAGACGCAAATCAATAAATTGAAGGGCATATAAGGAGCTATCAGTATCAAGTATACTAAACCACATTTATAATGTGTTCTTTATAAAGACAAAATAATTGATGAATAAAAACATATTATAGGGGACCATAGCTCTCTTTCTTTTGGTCGTATCCCTTTTTTATTTTTCTATATAGTTAAAAGTAAGTACTATTATTTTTCTTTCTGTCTTTTTCTTTATTTTCTAATGCAGTGAATATATCTTTATGGTACAATAATGTGTGGTGGCCAAAACCTTTAAATAGTGATAAAAACGTGTATTTATTATCCAACAAAAAAAAGTGTACGGTGGCTGTTGATAAAAACATGTATTTACAAACAAAATAAAAGAAGGTGTAAGGGAAACTAGGATTTTAATCTTATGGGTTCTGAATTTTAGGAATCGTTTGGGGTTTGTCCATAGATTTTTTTTCTTTTTTCTTTTCCAAAAACATGTTTGCCCATAAAATTTTGCAAGTTTTTGGAGATTTTTCGAAAATGAGTTTTTCAAAAACTAAAAAGTGGTTTGCCCACTTTTTCAAAATTTTCAGAATTTTTTTTCCAACTCCCAAAACTACAACATTTTTCAAGTGAAATGCATGTTCAAACATAATTTCAAATTCCTAATGCTAATTTTCAGCTTAACAACAAATACTACTTTCTTTAAAAAAATTACAATTTTTATGTCCAAATGCCTACTTAGAATGACGACTTCAACTGTTAACAATAATTGGGTTATACATTAAATATTGATACATATTTAATGAATTTATTAATACCAAATATACCGTTTGAGTAAAAGTTATTGAGTTTAACTGAACCCATAGCTAGGTTGTCACGACTCGGAATTTTCACTGTCGGGACCGTGATGGCCCCTAACATTCCACTTGCTATGCAAACCAACGTTAGAAGATTATTAAGCCAAACCTTATTTAATTCAACAAATAACAGTAAATAAACTAAAGTGAAATACAACGAGTGCGGAATAATATAATAACTTCATCATTTACTACTACCAGGATCTAGTGTCACAAATTCACGAACATTCTAGGATTTACTACAAGTGAAAGACCGAAAGAAATACAACTGTTTGAACGAAAGAAACAGTAAAAAGGAAGAGATAGATAGGGACTTCAAGGTCTGTAAACGCCGACCGTTCTATTTTGAGTCTCTGGTGGTCCGTTCGAGCTGCTATACCTCTCGATCAACTGAGACCAATACCAAAATCTGCACAGAAGTGCAGTGTGTAGTATCTGTACAACCGACCTCATGTACTGGTATGAGCCCAACCTCGACGAAGTAGTGACGAGGCTAAGATAAGACACGTACATAATAAACCTGGGATACTTAATAGTATATGTACAAAATAACGACAGTAAAAGATAGACAGATAATATCGGGAGGGGGACATGCTGAGGGGATTACAAGATAGAGAATCACAACAGTAAAGAAAACTTAATCCACCAATATACCTTGACCCAATAATAACAAGTAAACACAGTAAAGAAAAATGCACGGCATCGCCCTTCGTATTTTTACTCTCAACCTCACCATATAATCAATAGAAACGGCACGACATCACCCTTCGTGCATTAACTCTCTCATCACATGGCGCGAAATCACCCTTTGTGCATTAACACTCACAATATGGTACGACATCACCCGTTGTGCATTATCACTCACAAAACATGGCATGACATCACCCTTCGTGTATTAACACTCACAGTATGGCACGGCATCACCCTTCGTGCATTAACACTCTCCCTCACCAAACAATGAACAATAACAACAGGGAGATGAAAATAACAAGAACAAGTCTTACTTCAACGTTTGGTTCCACAATATCGACCTCAACTTTGAATGAATACTCAATCAATACCAAAGTTCGTAAACATGATAATAACGATCAACGTAATGATTAACTAGTCTAAGCATGGATAGTATGATCATAGAAAGCAACAATTTCAAGAATAAGACCCACTAGCATGCTATGACCCGACAATAATGCATAGGTACTCGTCACCTCACCTATATGTTGTACCCAACATTCAAACATGTAACAAATAGGCAAATAGGACCTAATCCCTCAAGCCAAGGTAAACCACGACACTTACCTCGCTCCAACGGCCAAACTCAAAGCTCAACCACGACTTTTCCCTTCAAACAAGCCTCCAGACCAATAGAATCTAGCAAATTACCAACCAAACGATTCAAATAAAGCCTTAGGAGCTACCCATGATTGCAAAGAATTCAATTTAGATCATTATTGAAAAAGTAAATAAAAGTCAACACCCGGACCCGCTTGATCCAAACCCGAAATTCGGACCAAAATTCGATTACCCATTTACCCTCGAGCCCCGTTATATAATTGGTTTTGGAATCTGACCTCAATTTGAGGTCTAAATCCCCAATTTATCAAATTCCTAGTTTCTACCCAAAAACCCCCAATTCCACCATGCAAACTTTAGATTTTAGGTTGAATCTTAGGAAACAGTAGTGGAAGATTGAAAGAAATTAGTTTAAAATCACTTACCAATGATTTGGGGAAGAACGTCCTTTGGAAAATCGCCTCTTGTGTTTCTAGGTTTAAAAATTTGAAGAATGAATCAAAAATCCCGCATAAGTCATCTTTTGTTCAGCTGAAGGTATCGCATTGCGACCTGGGGTTCGCAAATGCGAACAAGTGTTCACAAATACGAACAAGAGAGGATCGCAAATGCGACTAGAACTTCGCAAATGCGAAGGTCCACCCCCAGCCCACTGCTTGCAAATGCGTTTGTCTCTTTATAGATGCGAAGCTTGCATTTGTGAGCCAGATCTCGCAAATGCGAAATCTGCAGGTCTGATGCACACCAGCTATGATTTCTAAGTTCAGTTCACTCTGTAGCCTATCCGAAACTCACCCGAGCCCTCGAGGCTCTTAACCAAACATGCACACAAGTCCTAAAACATCATACAAACTTGTTAGCAATCAATTCGCCAAAATAACACCTAGAACTATGAATTGAACACCAAATCGAATGAAATTTTCAAAAAAGCGTTAAAGCTTTTATTTTCACAACCGGACGTCCGAATCACGTCAAACCAACTCCGTTTCTCACCAAATTTCACAGACAAGTCTTAATATTATAATGAACCTATACCTAACTCCGAAATCAAAATACGGACCTGATAACAACGAGACGAAACATTAACCAAATTCTTAAAACCATTACATTTTCAATCTTTCAATTTTCAACAAAAATTCATATCTCGAGCTAGGGACCTCGAAATTCGATTCCGAGCATACGCTCAATTCCCAAATTACGATACGGACCTACTGGGACAATCAAAATATGGATCCGGGTCCGTTTACTCAAAACGTTGACCGACGTCAACTCAATTTAATTTTTAAGACAAAAATTCTTGTTTTTGTCAACTTTTAACATAAAAGCTTTCCGGAAACATACCTGGACTGTGCACACAAATCAAAAAGGATAAAAATGAGATTTTTAAGGCTTAAAAACGCAGAATTGAGTTCTAAAACATAAGATGACCTTTCGGGTCACCACATATTTGTTGCCTCAGACCTTGTAATGTGGTGGTTGAAAGAGTAAATAACTCGCGTAAATGAGGTACTAACTCACTATAAATATCCAGTGGATCAATGAGCCTTAACACAATACAATTTGGATTTTCTTTCTTTGTAATTTTCAAAGCAAAGGCAATGGAGGGGAAGACTATGGTCAAGTTATCTCATGTGGTTGCTTTCTTGCTTCTTGCATCACGTCAGTTAGCCTTTTCTCACGCACATTTCTACTTATTTTTATTTAACTATTTATTTCAAATATTGAAAAGCAGAACTTATTACCTATATTATCTTTTTAAATAAGTAATTATTTTTATGAATTATTTATTTTAATTACAGTTTTTCAACCTCTTACTGCACGAGATCTGGTATTCGAAGTGAGTGATGAAATAGAAGTCTTGCGATTTCCAATGGCAAAAGAAAACCAAGTGAAAACACTTGATGATATCTCTACTTTTTGCCCAGGTTTGCTCTCTACTCTTTCTTCTTCTTATAGTTTCTAATAACCACGATAACCTTTTTTCGATCCAAAATAATCTAGTGTCGGTTATATAAATCGTCATTGTTCATATTAAACTATTTAAATTCATCTCATTTCAATGTTATGCAAACACAGATAATATCATGCCCTAGTTTCAAAGTACTTGTATTTTTGTTTCAAAGTTATACGTAAGGATTTACTTATTGTATTAATATAGTTTAATATGTGATAGCAAGTTAGTTATTATTTTTAATAGGTTACCAATAAATAGTGCTTATTATAGAGATTTACAAGTGACTTGCTTGTTTAAATATTCTTTACACTGTTAATTAGTATATAATTTAGACTGTCTTAATAATATTTTAAAATCAGAAACGAGCTACAGAAACGGGTTTATGTTATTTTTGTGGGAGTTGGAGAATCTAAAATAAAGTAAAAGGCCTTTGTGTTATTCCACATGTACGGATCCTAAAGTTCCATGATGTTTACATACTTATAATAATTTGTGTGTAATAATTTTTTTTTCTAAGTATTATTATAATTTATAGTGTCATATACTAGGCTATATATTCTTTTTATCTTTTGCCTCATTATATTTTTAATTATAGGAAAGCAATCATGGCCTGAACTTGTGGGAAAGCCAGCGGCGACTGCTAAGAAAATAATTGAGAAAGAAAATCCCATAGCCAAAGTTCAGTTTTTGTTCCCTGGTATGGTTAAACCATTGAATTATGTTTGTGGTCGAGTTTTTGTGGTTGTTAACTGGAAACTCATTGTTCAAATTACTCCCACAATGGGTTAATTAAATAGTTCTATTATGGAAGATTTAGAATAACAAGACCCAAGAATTAAGAAATAGAGTACTGGTGTTCCATAGTGTACTCTTCATGTACTCTACTATTTCGATATAATAAATAAACTAAGTGTGGGTTATTTAATTTGTATTATGCATGTATTATAATTATCTTGCCTCATTCTCTTTTATGTTGTAACTTTTCCAGTTTTGCTTTTCTTTTTCGTTTGTTATGCAATTTGACGTACACAGAGGCGTAGCTCCGCCTGGTAGAATGTTGAAGACGTTATTGTTTTAATATATCTGGCTTAAAAATTTAAATTCTTAAATGAGATGATCATATAATTCAATAATATTATATATTATAGGTAGAGTCCAGAGTTCGAGACTCTACCTACTACTATTCATTATTCATCCATGAAAATATGATAACATATTTGACTTAAAAGTAAAATAAAAAGATTCCCGACGAATTGGAGGGAGCGCATAGAAGACATAATTGATACTCCATGCAAACAAAATGCCTCATCTTTGATGTACTGGAGACATATAAAATTTATTGGGTCTAATCCATATAAAATTTGGATTAAATTCAATTGGGTTAAATAATTAATTTGAGCTTTACAAGTGAAATTAGTCCATTTTATTATTTTCAAGCCCAAGATCCATTTCATCTTAAGGCCCAGACTCATGCCATGTGTCAAGTGACATGGTATATCTAGTCAAACTGCAAGCCAAAAAGATGATGCCACATGTTAAATGATGTGACAGTCCAAGTCAAAAAGCAAGAACCAACCACAAGTTGCCAAGTGGCTAAAATGACATGAGCCAATTAGAATCAAGCAGGAGAGTTCATATGTAGCTGGATTGTCCGTCCTCTACAATTATAAAAACTCTCAGAAGACATTCAGAGTTGGAGAAGAACATTCCGCAATTGGTGAAGGCATCCACAAACAGAGAGATCAATCATTGTCACACCTCCTTCTTACCCGAGGGGGATATAAGAGAGTTTTTTTCACTTTAAGTGATATTATTCGATATGAGATTATTTAATTAATTTCAGAGTCGCCACTTGGGATAATCTATGGTGTCCCAAGTCACCGGTTTATTTTTTTAAAAATCCCAAATCGAGAAAATTAACTCCGTTTAAAGTCTGTGAAACCAGAAAGACTAGGTAAGGAAATCTATTAACCTGGGAGAAGGTGTTAGGCATTCCCGAGTTCCATGATTTTAGCACGGTCGCTTAGCAATTTATACTTGGCTTATCTTGTCTAATTACTCATTTTAGGACCTATGTTTATTTTACCTTTTATCGCTATTAATCACATGATAATCCATATTTAAGAAATTAACCTAAGATGAGTTACGCGTACGTATACTCAATTCCTAACACTTGGTTTATTTAAGAAAAAGGATTAGTCAAAGTTGCGCGAACACATACTTTGGATTTATTTAAGAAACGTAATCATAATAACAATTCAAAACTCGCGCCTAAAACATTTCTACGAATATTTGATTAAGGCGTTTTTAAAAAAAATATTTAACCATGGTCACGCGAATGTATACCTTGGCACCACAACTATGTCACGCATGTTTATACATGGTTGTAATAATTAATCTAATTTAAAGGTGTACCTAAAGTTGTGATCATGTTTCTAAGTGTTCTACATCATTTAGCAAGGTGTAAAAGTTCAATACCATATGAGATACTTATTTGATCAAATGGGGCAACTTATTTATTAAATGCCAAACAGACTCGGATTTTGAAATTTGGGGCATGATAAGGATTGAGTCCAAATGAACTCTAGCCCAAGACATATATTGTCTATTATTCAAACAGCTAAATTAAATCTAAAGGAACTTGGGCCTGACTAAATCCAGATGAATCTGGCCCAAACGAATTATTAAGCATTCAATCAATTTAAACATAATGGATTCAGGAAGATTTGGGCCTACTAATGAGTCCAAATAACTCTGGCCCCCAATATCCATTTGTGGACAAATAAATAAATTCGAAGAGAGGATTTGGGCATGATGATAATGAGTCCAAGTGAACTCTAGTCCAACACATATTTGAAGGAGTTTGAAATTAATATTCGTAATGACAAAATGCAAAATTTTACCTATATTTTGTTTATCTTTTAAAACAGAAAATAAAAAGGGTTTTTGAATAAATCGAAACTCGCTAAATTTTGGACAATTTTCCTACTGATTTTCCCAAGTCTTTATTTTTGAAATGCTGGTTTTTTAAACTTATTTGTATTTAAAAAAAAAATCTTGAAGTGTAAAGGCCATTGGTCAACTCATTTTGTTTTAGTAAAAATTATATCACAATTTCATAAACCTAATTGGTTTTGAGCCTGAAAATGTACTATAATTATTATTTAGTTACTTTATAAAAATCTGATTTTTATGACTTTAGGCTAATAATCAGCATTAGTTAATTATAAAGAAAAAGTATTGTAAATTGCTAATCTATTAAGCTGATTTTACACACAAGGAAATGCAATAAAACTTACTACATTTTTTGCGAACTGAATAACCAAACTGCCTATTGCTATTCTAACAGAATTTCTAGAAAATGATCTATGTGATACTACTACATATGAACATACAAATTTTATAAAGGTATGAATCTTTAAGTAGATTCTGTAATTTTCAGAACACTTTTAAACTAATCTATTTGCTTAAAATAATGTGAATGAATTTGCAACATAACTTTTAAACAAACAACTTCAAATCAACATGATTCATGCAGTATTCAAACTAATTACAGCTTTATCAACAAATTCAAGTCATGATTCAGCAAAGATGAAGCTTTACATTGTTAAGAAAAATACCTTGACAACAGCATGAAAACAAACAGAAAGACAATAGGTCTCTGAAAAGTTGAGTAAGAGCAGCAGCAAGAAAACTCAAACAGAAAATCAAAACTAGCTTCCAATTTAAACCCAGAAATCCAGAAGATAGTATGAAAAACAAGTAGGAGTTCTTTGCTAATAGTGAAAGAAAGAGATTCCAAAGTAGTGCAGAATCAGTGTATTTTTAGGTCTATGAAAAAATGTCTCTCTCAGTCTTTTTGTGTATTCAGGTGTGTAAAAAGATCTCTGTATAATGAAAAGAAGGAGTGTATTTATAGAATGAGGAAGTGAAGAGGGATAAGAATTAAGGTACAAAGAATCTGTAAGAATTCCCTATAAATTAGGAAGAATGACATCTTCTTAACAGAAATGGGCAGCTGTCCAATTTATAGTATCTTCCTTATCTCAGAAAATAGATAAGTGTCCTATTTCCGGATATTTTTGGATCTTATCATTTTTTCCTACTCAGCATTAGGACAGTTGTCCCTATTCTAAAAAGTTCTAGCACTTTCTGAATGATTTTTAGAATTTAGGTTTCCAAAATTGACCCTTAAGAGTCTTGGAATTACTTCAAAACCCGATTGGTTCTGGGCTTGAGTCAGGTGACTCTTGGCCTGAAGAGCTTGAGCTCTTAAACTTTTACAAAGCTATGGGCCTGTATATTTAGCCATGCCCAATTTTAATAACAATAATAAATAAACAATAATAACAAAGTTTTGGACCTGTCTATTTAGCCAGGCCCAAAAAATTAACAAAAATAAGCAAAGGAAATACTAAACCAAAAATAAACAGAAAAAGGTAAAATGTAACACTGTTTTTTTAATAATTTTATCTTGATTAATCTGTTTTAATAAATTGATTAGCAAATGAAATAACAAATACATAATAATATAAAACTAACAGAATATGATTACACTAACCGTTATATATTTTTAAATGAAGTCCGATTTTAATTAGTTAATTCATTATAACAGAATAACTAACAACGATAATTAGAAAAAATAAATACAGAACAATGAGTAAAGAGAAATAATTAAAAAAACAGAATGCGTAAATAATAAAAAAATAGAAAAAAATCCGAAAAAAATAACATAAATAAAAATAAATGTGGAAAATAACATAAATAAATAAAAATGCATAAATAAAATAACAAAATTAAATGGGTCTAACCGTGAAAAAATCCTCATGCCAAGACTCCCGTCTGGGATCTTAGATCCTTGATGGGAGATCTTGGTCGTAGGATTTTTTAATGGCTAGGAAAATTAAAGGGGGTAGATCTAGGGTTTTAGCCCTTTTAGATCTATGATCTACAGATTTTGGTTGGGTTTTTGGGGATTTGGTTGGTAGGATGAGGTTTAAGAGGATGAGAGGAGTGTATGGTATGAGTTTGAGGAGTTTTGGACCTTCACCGCCGCCTTGGGCGATTTCCGGCGGCGGGGTTGGGGTGGTGTAGAGTTTTTGGCCACTTTTTGGTTCTAAGGGGTTGGTTTTTTATGGGTTTAGTTGGTAGAGTGAGGTAGAGGAGGAGAAGAGGAGTAGATTGAAGTGATTTTGGGGTTTTTTTAAAGGTTGGCCGTTGCCGGTGGAGAATTCCAGCGGGCGCAGCCACCGTGGGGAGGGGTGGCGGCGAAAGTGGGAGGAGAGAGAAGAGAGAGAGATGGGGGGCTTTAGGGTTTGAGGAGTTGAGAGAGAAGTGAGAGAGTGGGGAGTTTGGAAATTAGGGGGTGGAGGTTTTAGGACACTTTTATATTAAAGAGAGAGGAGTTCTGGGCCGTTGGATCTATTGAAGATCAATGGCCAAGATTAAAGGGAGGGGGAAGATGGGTTGTTGGGCTGGTCCGATTTTTAGGGGGTTTGGGCCTTGGTTTTTGGGTTAAGTTTAGGGTTTGGGCTAGTTTAAATTGGCCCAAATTTAGCCAAGACCTCATTTTCTTTAATTTCTAAAAACTAATTAATTTAAATAAACCTTAAACTAAGTACTAAATTATCTTAATTTGTAAATTTAACTAATTATCTATTTGTATTATTTACACAATTAGTCAATCTTAAATTAAAAAGAACAAATTACTTAATTTAATACTAAAACTAAAAAATGTCAAGAACAAATAATTTTTTTTGTGATTTTCTTTTAATGAAGTAATTAAAAAATATAATTAGCCATTAAACTAAATTTAAGACCTAATAATGCAAGATGATGAAGGTTTAAATATTTTTGTTAGTTTTCATAACTTTAAAAATGAAAAATGCGACTAAAAAATGCAAATATCCAAACAAACACAAAAAAAATCTATAAATAAATAAGACTAATTT